AGAGGTAGGATATAGAGTAATCAGGGACCTTTTCCTAGAGGTAGGATATAGAGCAATCAGGGACCTTTTCCTAGAGGTAGGATATAGAGTAATCAGGGACCTTTTCCTAGAGGTAGGATATAGAGTAACAAGGGACCTTTTCCTAGAGGTAGGATATAGAGTAATCAGGGACCTTTTCCCAGAGGTAGGATATAGTGCAATCAGGGACCTTTTCTTATAGGTAAAAAAATGAGTAATCAGGGACCTTTTCCTAGAGGTAGGACATAGAGTAATCAGGGACCTTTTCCTATAGGTAGCTAGAATATACAGCAAAAAGGGACCTAAGTAAAATAAAAATTGTGATTGAATTTCTAATTCTAAAACTTGGTGTATGTTTCAATTTATTTTTAGGACGACGAAGTATAATGGAGAGGAATTCATTGATTCGCCATCCAAGCTCTAGATCCATTGATACAAATAGGTAATCACTTAAATAAAATTAATCATTTTGCTAAAAGTTAAAAATTAAATAAATGTTAAATTATTGTGTTCAGGTTGAATGTGCTGGAACAAAAGAATGCCCTGTCAGCTGAAAATCATTCCTTTATAAAAGATGTGAGATTTTATTTTTTTATTGCGAATCTAAATGCAAATCGTAAATTTTTGAGTTATCATATATTGCACAATAAAGTTTTACTGGGGGGAGGGGGTCTGTTAATCTTGACTCAGGAAATGACCAATATATCATTTTATTTTCAGATTGTTGATCAAGTTCTCTCCGGAGAGGGAGTAGGTTGGCTCAAAATAAATCGACTCAGGTTGATTTCTATTACAAAACATCAATTTAAAGACAAGAGACAGTTTGTCGTTCAAGGAAATCTTAAGATTTTATTCAATCACTTGTCTCCCTAACGGCACACTAGGCGTAATTTTAGAGTGACATGACGATTCACAACGGTAGCCTCCATCTGAGCAGGAGTAAGATATCCTTGTTTTCAATCTGAAAATTGAATAATTTGGAATTTAGGGATCAAGCTTAAAACGTGACTTGCTGGCGTATCTTACAGAAAAAAGAATTGACAGAAAAATTACGATATCTTTTGCATTGTAACTCAGATAAAGTACAAAGGGACCGATGTAAAGCTTTATCAGGGGATCGGTTAAAATCAGGGTTACAGTCCCTTTAATAATGTATACGGATATTAATGGTAAATTATCCGTTATCTCGGTAATTTATCCTAATGAGATTATTTGGTTTCCAACCCAGTAATGAACAAATACAGTTAACCTACTCTTTGGAAAATAATCTTTTAGAATAAAGAGCAACAGCAATAAAACGATGAAAACCGTTAGATTCAATTAGAAACTAAGAATAATAAAAAGGACTTTATATAGAGTCCAAGTCCAAGGGACCCTCCGTTCATAGAGTAGTGTGTACACTGTACAATTCACAATGGTGCCTTTTAAACCTTTGTCTGATCGAATATGGATGAATGTGATGTATTTTTATAACTAAAAATTTATTATTTTCACTTTTGGTGTTAAAGTGACTTGAAGATTTATGCTACAAAGACCATGAAACAAAATATTAAAAACGACGATATCTTCCTCACTAATACTCAAATAGAGGTTTTAAACGCACCGTTGTAAATCGGACATACCATTCTTTTTTTAAATGGAGGTCACCTGAAATTACAGTCCCTAAAAATAAATTAAAGAAATTAATGGAATTAAGGTCACTTGAAATTACATCTATACATTCAGTCCCTTTAAGATACATTTCTGTTTTAGGAAACTAATGGAGGATGAAAACTATAGAAATATTATTCTTACGAAGATCAATCGAACTATTGATCGAAGGATCGGTCCAGATGATCACTTGGACGATGTGGTAAGTCTGAGCTCGATCCACTTAATTCAATCTCTTTTCCGACTCATTCCCTGTATCTGTATCCTTGTATTCCCTGTATCATCTGTATCCCTGTATTCCCTGTATCTGTATCCCTGTATTCCCTGTATCTGTATCCCTGTATTCCCTGCATCTGTATCCCTGTATTCCCTGTATCCATTTTAATACTTAAATTTTTTTGAACTCTCTCAAAATATTTCAAAATTCAATTTTCTGAAAATCCACTTTACAAGAGGAAGGTTTAAAATGTTTAATATCTAGGTTCTAAAAAGGTCTGTATACAAGGGGGTATTAAAGATCCTGACATCTGTAATACATGGTCTGGAGATAACTGTAGGGAATAGTGGTGTAGGAGGGATGGCTTCAGCTTACCAGCTACTGGAAATATCTCATACTCATTACTGGACTAAGGTTAATCAAAATTAAATCAAATAAAAAACGAAATTTCTAGCCACAAACCCAAATTTTCTGTTTCCTAAAACTTTCTTCTTTAAACTTCTTTTATATTTTAAGGATCACAGGAGATCTTTGTGAAAATAGATCTAAGCTGTCTTAAAGCTCTCTTGGTGCAGTTGTTTTACATATATATTAAATTTACTAACTGTTATAATTTATTACTTTTACAGAAAAATATATGATTTGATTCGATTTGATCTTTACAACCGATGGTGTAAATCTTTGATATTTCAAAGCTCTACGACATCTGGTTGCAAAGATTTATAAGGATAACAATCTGAGTTTGTGGCAGGAAATTTTGTAGCCCCATTCTTCCCGTGGTATTTATGTAATGATCCTAACTGAGCATGATCAATAATCAAATATATTTCTAGGATATCGCTGAACCGTCGGATCATCTCACTACATCAGGTTTGTTTATATATATTTTAATATATTCACGTAGAACTAGAGTCAAATTGAATTCGAGCGGATCGACTTCTTGTACCGTCCCGACTGAAGCGCGGCATAACTCGGCCCGTCCTCTTATCTTATGTCGGCCCGGGCTCACTTGGCGAGTTCGATGGCGCGGCTAGACTTTTAAGCTTTTACTGTACCCGGCCTATCATAAGCCTATTTAACCTACCCCACACGGTGGGATATTTTAGAGGGTCATGGGGGGTTGACTGTTTTGTCACAATACTTTTCTTAAAATGCATTTGTCTTGTGTTTCATGTTGAAAATTGACACAATGAATATATTCTGATAATCTTTTTATTTACAAAAATTGTATCAATTGTAGCTAACATTGATTTAAAATGATTTCAATTTATAATTACTTTTCCCGTTCATAAATTTATCCTTGAATGGATCCTGTAATCCTGCAATATATTTAGATGTCGTCTTTGTTACAGCGAGTATTTCAAAAGAAAAACTTAAATTTTTTTTGTAAAAGCACAGAAAAGCACAGGGGTTTCGGGATAATCTGAATATATAAATAGATTCTATACAGCCATATTGAAAAGATTTAGGGGCTCCAGCAGCACCCCAAATTCTTGATTTAGTCAAAGTAGCTAGGGCTGGGCACGTTCCGACTTTTTTGAAATCGTTCCGTTCCGTTCTAGAACGAGGAGGGGAGGGGGGTCGGGTGATTAAATAAAAAAATCTTTAACTATTTCTAGATGATTTAGAACACATTCCTGATTTAAAATGCGTTCCCAACTTAGAACAATTGTTCTTGATAATAAGAACGCGTTAACGATTTTAACCGTTCTTTTCAAGCAATTCCCGTTCCGTTCCGTTCTTTTACTAATCGTTCCAATATTTTTAAGAAAGCGTTCTAAGCGTTCGTTTTTTTTCGGAACGATGGGATCGTTCTTGATCGTTCCGTTCGTTCTCGGCAAAGAACGATCGTTCAACCGTTAACGCGCCCAGCCCTAACAGTAGCGGCGTGTTGAAAAATCCTATTTAAAAAGAGTTTTCAATGAAATAGCTGGTTTCGGTCTAATTCTTCCTAACTAAAACATAACATTCAAACAGCTTTGAGACTTCTCTCAAAAAAAAATTACTTAAGCGGCCAAGCCTTATTTGACATAAATAAGAGGTTTATGGAAAAAAATTCATTTTAGCTGACCCTCCCCTACTACCCCTGTGCCCCGCTATCTTAAACTTTTGGAAGTCTTATATCTTTGCACCTTAATGTCGTCATTGTTTATATTGAAACTATGTATTCTGTAAAGTGAATTATAGTAGGAGTTAGGTCTAGTATAAACTGTATAATATGAAAACTACGTTTAAACATGTTGATTTTGTTATAATACAAATAATACAAAAACAGTTTTACCAGTTCTTTCAAAAGAAACTTATCTTTTGAAAATGCCTGTAAGCACGTTGCAATATTGCTGTGTTTCATGTACACTGGACTAATTAAAATAAAAACTATAAGTTTATGGATCCCACCAGGTTGTAAAAATACAGGGATTAGAAAATGAAATATGATGAGAGTAATCAGTTCCTTGTTTATCGAATTCGCGGATTGAGAGGAGTGGGGGGGGGGAGTGAGTTATTTTAAAATTTAAAAGCGCTTTTCCCCCATTTCTCAGTGGAATATTAGTATTCAAAGAATTTGAGAAATTTTTAGAAGCTTTGTGAAATCTAAAGCCGATTTATTGCATTTTTTCTCCATAGAAATCAGATCTGAAGAAATATTGAAAATATTTTACAAATCTCTTTTGCTTTTGTATAGTTGAATATTATCTGTCATTAGATTGTTTGATGATGCTGATGTATGTTTAATAATTATGAAGAAATCACAACTTTTCAAATAATAAAAATAAAATATTTCTTCAGTTTTTTTCTCAAGGGTTTTTTTACAGTTAAAAATTGAATGTATTTTAGAAGTACATTTTTCAACACAATTGGACATTTTTCATCACGTATGAAATGAGAGTATAATTGAGGAGAGTCCGAAACACTTAATTTGTGGATTTATATCTTCTTTTTGGTGGATTTTTTCCTTGTCAACAAAGACGATATTTGCTCCGCTATAGTATTTTATTCTCAGGTGGAACCACAGTACCAGGATCCCTAGCCTCTACACCCCTAGGGGGCAGCAGAGAAAATATAAATAAACTTAGGATAGAGGTAAACCCCCGACCAAAATCATGGTTGGTTCAACATTACCACTGCTTTTTACTATCATCCAAGTATTCAAATATTGCGTATTTTTGTCATCAAATAAAACGTTTATATTTTGCTCAGTTAAAAAAACCACCTTAAAAACTTTTTTTCATCGTTTTGTAATTTTTGTGTTTTAGGGATCTTCTAATTTGAACTATTCAGATGACTATTCAGGGTTCGATTCAGGTTATTATTATAATATTTAATACTAGCTAAGGGGCCTCTTGAACATATATTTATATGTCTTATTTTATTATATAGATTGCTGGGCTTTTTAGAGCGGTTTTTATTTTTATTTTTATTGTTGCTCTATCTGCAGTGAGCATCTTCTTTTTGAAAAATATGAAACAATAACAAAAAAAATTCGCGGATATGAAAATTATTTTCAAAATTTCACAAAAAAACAAAAAACTTTTGGACACAAATTTTTGTAATTTTGAGAGTATTCTAGGAGACCTGCTTAAAGAGCTGAAACATCAGAAAATGAATGATGTATAAATGATAAATGTATTCTAGGAGACCTGCTTAAAGAGCTGAAACATTTGAAAATGAATGATGTATAAAAGATACAAGTATTCTAGGAGACCTGCTTAAAGAGCTGATACATCAGAAAATGAATGATTTATAAATGATAAATGTATTCTAGGAGGCCTGCTTAAAAAGCTGATACATCAGAAAATGAATAATGTATAAATGATAAATGTATTCTAGGAGACCTGCTTAAAGAGCTGAAACATCAGAAAATGAATTATGTATAAATGATAAATGTATTCTAGGAGACCTGCTTAAAGAGCTAATACATCAGAAGATGAATGATGTATAAATGATAAATGTATTCTAGGAAACCTGCTTAAAGAGCTGATACATCAGAAAATAAATGATGTATAAATGATAAATGTATTCTAGGAGATCTGCTTAAAGAGCTGATACATCAGAAAATGAATAATGTATAAAAGATAAATGTATTCTAGGAGACCTGCATAAAGAGCTGATACATCAGAAAATGAATGATGTATAAATGATAAATGTATTCTAGGAGACCTGCTTAAAGAGTTGAAACATCAGAATGAATAATGTATAGATGATAAATGTATTCTAGGAGACCTGCTTAAAGAGCTGATACATCAGAAAAAGCATCTTCTACTGGGAAGACTTGCTTCTCTTGAATCAGGGAAACAATATTTGAAATTTTTTCCCAAAAAGCAATATTTTTTTATTATGTCACAAAATAAATAAGAAAATTTTCTTGAGACGAAATTAAGAACCATTTTACAAAATAAATTTTTTTTTTTCAAATTTAAACTATTTGATGAAAAGATTTCTTAACTAGAATGGATTTTTTTACAAAAAAGAATTATCTCAAAAAAATGTTTTTTTTTAATAATGGTTTTTACATATAAAAATTCTGTTACAAAAAAGAATTATTTAACAGAAATTATTTACCGAAAAAATTTCAAAAGTAAATCATGCAATAAAAAAATAATAAAACATAAGTAAATCGTTTTTCAAAAAAACATTTTTCAAAAAAGAATAATTTTCGATGTTGGTTGTACAGAAACTGAAAGTGAGTGCAATAACTCTGAGAGTGGAAGTATCATAACAAATCCAGCTTTCCACAGAACAAGGTGCTCTTTTACAAATTAAAGAAATTTTCTTGAAATTTTTATCTTCTATGCATACATTTTGTGCTAACCTTGTAAAATATGTCGGAGTCTTCGAAATAATTTTTTAAATGTCATCTTTTAAACTTACTGATAATGGAATGCTGCAGATATTTAGTTTTTTAAATGGATAATTATATATCTAGCTATTTATTTATTTTTTGTATAAAACCCATTGAAAAATTGTCAAGACGACATTTCATAAGTTTTGGGCTAACTTTTATTTATTTTTCAGATTTTGTTTAATTCTATTTTTGAGTTCCATCTTTAAAGGGAGTGTTAACGTAATTTCAAGTCATTTATAGAATGCCATTACCGATTCACAACGGTACACATTTATACGTTGTCTGATCAAGTATGATTTAAATAACACAAATCCATGTGTATTATAGTTTAAAAACTGTTTGTTTTCAATTGTGTTCGGGTTCTCCTCAACAAAACAATATAGGAATTTTCAAAATAAATAAAGAATACGTCGGCTTTCACATTATTTATCAGATAACGGTTTTAAGGGTACCGTTAGGAATCAGGTGTGTCACACTTTAAATGGTGGTTTTCGAGATTTTTGGAATTTTCGAGGATTGAGGTTTCCAAAATCCGAAGAATTTAAGAACTTTTTCAGCTTAAAACATTAAATTAAGCCAGCTCAGGTTAAACCAGTAGTTTACCCGATTGAAGTTGAACTACATTTATAAAATGCCAATTCCTGATTTAACCTTTTTTTCATTTTTTTAATTTTACCATTTTTTTGTTCAAATAGTTTTTGTATTTTCAGGGGAATATTTTCCTCAATTAGAAGTGCTGTATCAGACACTGATGTTGAGAGCAATGTAAGTATTTTTTGATAAATAAATCTTTAATCACCATTCATTTCGTTGATCTGAGAGAAAACGAATCTTTTGTGTCATAAATCACTAGCGGTCACTGGTCACTGGTCAATGGTCAGTCGATTCATTCAATCTTACAAATTGATTTTAGAAATAATATTCAAAAGTCATAGATTTGTTTGTATATACAATTATTATCATTTTCTACAATTCAACACAGAAGCCTTTCCAGATAATTTTAAAAGCATCAACATTTTTTTTTCTAAACTTCCTGAAAATAAAAAACTTTTACTTTTTTTTCTTTATGTAAAAGTAACTACGAAGAAAAATTATATCTGTGAAAATAAAAAAAAACTTTTTTTCTCTTTGTAAAATTAGCTAAAGTTTTGAATTTAGAAAAAAATAGTTTTTTAGTTTTAATCAATTAATCGATTTTTTAGTACTTGTCTAGCCGGGGAGGATCTTCTAATCTGTGGAACTGTAAATCCTCCCTAACTTCCGGTTACAGGTAAACTACTTCCTACATTACTTCCAGTTACAGATACAATACTTCCGGCTACAGGCAGACTACTCCCGGTTACAGGTACACTACTTCTGGTTACAGATACACTACTTCCGGTTACAGTAACACTACTTCCTACATTACTTATGGTTACAGATACACTACTTCCGGTTACAGGTGCACTACTTCCGGCTACAGGCACACTACTCCCGGTTACAGGTACACTACTTCCGGTTACAGGTACACTATCTTCCGGTTACTGGCACACTACTCCCAGTTACAGATAAACTATGTCAGGTCATAGGTATATCACTACTGGTTACAGGTATTGCTATTTAATCCCTTTAATCCGAGACACCCTGTTAACCTACTTTTTTATAAGTACATTAATTTTGATTGCAATTAGGATTCATTAGGTACAAAAAAGTAAATACAAAGTTAATGATGTATCTAGATTAATTTATAAAGAAATAGATTTATCAAGGAAAAAATTATTAAATAAATAAGAGATATTTCCATTAATAGAATTGATTGTAGATATCATGGAGGAGATATGGTGAGCACTATGCAGCTCCCCCCTCCAGACCTTATCAGAACTTATATCTTTCAGGGGATCATTAATAAGGTATTATTATCATTATTATTATTATATTTGGAGTAAACTTATATATTTGCAGTACACTTTTATATTTGCAGTACACTTTATATTTGCAGCACACTTTTATATTTGCAGTACACTTTTATATTTGCAGTACACTTTATATTTGCAGTACGCTTTTTTATTTGGAGTACACTTTTATATTTGCATTACACTTTTATATTTGCAGTACACTTTTATATTTGCAGTACACTTTTATATTTGCAGTACACTTTATATTTGCAGTACGCTTTTATATTTGGAGTACACTATATATTTTTCAATTGAAATTAAAAATAAAATGGAATTTTTAAAAATTTTTATTTAAAATATTTTTTTATGCATATACACTGTTTGAAGTTGTGTGCATTTTCTGTTAGAATTCCAATTTTTATTTTAAATTGTTTTCAAAGGAAAGAGAAGCTACGGGAATGGATACAGGGACTGACTTGCTAATGGAACATTACAGGTGAGTTTCATCACTGAAAACTTTATTTAATTAAGAATGAATATTTAGTTATAAATTTTATATCATTAATATTTTAAAATCTATTTAATCATAAACGTGAAAGTGAATGTTTGTCGTAATTTTAAGTGACCTTCCATACAAAGATGGCAATGTCCGATTTACAACGGTACTCTTAGAAACTTTGAGTGTTCATAAGGACACAAATCTGCCTTTGGATATCATGAAACAGTAGCCTAAAAAAGCATCTATATATTTTGCGACTTCTAGAAAGTAAATATTAGAATTTTCTTGATATGTTAAAAAATTGAAGGGTTTTGTTGTAAATCTGACACACCACTATAAAACAAATGAATGGTCACTTGGAATTATTCCCAGAAAGTTCCTTTAAACAATAATTACAATTGTAGAGGTTTATGTGAGAGTGAAAAGAAAAGGTTGGAACATGAGGAAGATCGTCTTCTCTCCACCATGCTCTTCAACCTCGTCGCATACATGGTCATGATGCAAGTCAACAAGAACGAAATCAAAAAGAAGGTCCAGGAAACTTTGTATATGGAAGAATTTGTCTTAACTACAGTGTAACCAAGAACTTCGAAGCCATCGAAAGAACTTATACAATGTCGTCTTCTTAATCTACTGATAATGGAATGCGGCAGATATTTTTTTCAATTGAATAATTTATGTTCCCGCCTTTTATTTTATGGATATTATTTCTTTTTACAATTACTGTGATTTTGGTTAAAACCTAAAACAAATTGTCAAGACGACATTTTATAAATTCTTTTGATCTCTCATAAGTTCTGGATTAAACTGTATTTACAAAACTATTATTTTCTGCATTATTTTGGTTCTCAGTGCTGGTTTTGAAAGGTATTTTCTCTTTATCGAGAAGGTTTTATGCAATGGATAGATTTTTAAGCTTCTTAACAAATCAGTTATTGAAAATATAAGTTTGATTTTATTGTATTTCTATGAAGATTGAAAAAATATCTAGAAATAATATAAAATAAAGCTAATTTATTATTATAAAGCTTAACTAGCTGAAGAGCCCGGCGTTGCCCGTGAAAAAAATAAAATATTTTTTTATCCTATAACACGGGGGGTCCACAAAGAATTTCAGCCCAATCGGTCCAGCCGCCTATAGGCAACATATATATATATATATACAAATATCTTGTTTTATTATAGATGATTACTTTATAGCACGTCCATAATGAATTTTTCTGTGAAGTGAACACGAGTGATAAAGTACACAATAGTTTCATAACATTTATACTTTCTCGCAACTTTTGTGCTGTGTGGAATCTTTACCTTTACCTTTGGAGTTCATGACTTTTAGTTTAAAAGAACAGCGCTGACATAATTTTTGTGAACCAATAATAAAGAGGTACCTGGGACACATTAGATTCACAAAGGTACCATTTAGCCCATTGTCAATACAAATATGAGAAAGATGGGTTTCCTTTATGAAATTAAAGTCACTGAGAATTAATTCAGCCGAGACGAGAAGAAAAATAGTTTTTGATGGGTCGTGTTTTGCATATATCTTCTGTCAGGGTGAAAACTTGACAAAGTTTAAGAAAAGCAAGTGTTTGGAATAAAAAATTTTGAAGAACACTTGTTTTTCTTATCGGCAAAAAACGACCCAATTCTCTAACTAGCTGTAACCTAACAAGGTTGAATTTTAGATCCGCAGATTATTGGGTAAAAGTCATATTGGCCTAGTGCACTCGCAAGAGGTTAGCTTACTACTGGAGAAACTAAACCAACTCAATGCTAATGATATTGATCTCAGACCTCTACCCTCCAGGTACTTAAGTTAGTTGTTTGAACAGTGGCATCTCCAACAAATAGAAGCATGAGTGTCGTCTTCAGTTTTGCTTTTGATCGATATTTTTTATAATTATCTGAACATGTGCAATGTGCATTAGCTGTGTGAGTGTCGTCTTCGGTTTTGTTATTGCTAGAATTTTTTTTGTATCTGCATAGTTTTGAAGAAACATATTTGTCAAAGCCATAACAAGATTATATCTCATATGTTTTAAATTATAACCCCCTACTTAATGAAGAGCTATTGAGATTAATACAAATGTTTTTGATTTTATAGTATATGCACCCAACGAAATGTACTACTTTCATTTCATTGTAAAATCAAAACTGGAAAAAATATGTCACAAATTCGTTCCAGAAATGTCGAATAAGTTTGACCATCTCCTTCTGTCTAATGAATCGGTCTAGTGTTGTCCAAACTAATTTCCAATGACTTCGTAATTTGTAACAATTATGCAACTTGGATATTTTTTCAGCAATGAATCAGCCACAAAAGTTAAAAGTTAGAACTTAAACTCCTTATTCAATTCCAAGATTACATTTATTTGCATCTAACAATAACTATTGGTCCGAGTTAACTAAAAACATCCCTCGTTAATCATCTTAACTACCGTGATAGTATTTAACTGGTCTACTTTTTTTTTTATTTCATTTCAACGTCACAAACACTTTTTGGCCCTAAAAAGGTGTTGCAAACTTAAATATGCGATTTCGGAATTGAACAATCACAATTAAACACATTTTTAAATTCTTTAAAAGTTTATTTTTAATTTTTGTTTCAGACAAGTGAATAGGCAAAGCTTCACCGTTCATGCTGGTACAGATGCAACAGGAGACCTTCTGTTTTTAGAGGTCAGCAAATAATTTAAAACACAGAACAGAGATTAGAATAGAAGGGAAATAAGATATCCCTCGGTATGAATTTGTTCAGTCCCTTTGAGCCTGAAAAGGAGTTCAAAATGAACAATTCATGTAAATGTTCACAAATTATACGCAGTAAATCATAATACAGTATGATCCATGGACATATCCGTTACAATTTCTTCTTTTTGTAAAGTTTATTCTGAAATGAACTCGGGAATGTTAAGTAAAGTTTATTCTGAAATGAACTCGGGAATGTTAAGTAAAGTTTATTCTGAAATGAACTCGGGAATGTTNATTCTTAAAGGGACTGTACGATATTTGAGATTCTTAAAGGGACTGTACGATATTTGATATTCTTAAAGGGACTGTACGATATTTGAGATTCTTAAAGGGACTGTGCGATATTTGAGATTCTTAAAGAGACTGTACGCGTAATTTAAAGTTATTCTGCATCCACGACTCACAAGATTGGTCTGAGCTGAAAACTTTAGAATGGGATATCCTTAATCCAGATTGGTTAATTAATCTGGAGATTAATAACAGGAGGAGAACAAGCATTATATAATCTCGAGATTAAGAAAAAGAGTGGATCAAGCATTAATCCCGATATCCATCATTTAAAAGTTCCCAGCTCTGAACAAGTATTAATTAGATATCCTTGTTTTTGTTTCTGAAAACTGTTTATTTTGATTTATGGTATCTCTGCAAAATTGACTTGCGTATTTCGTAGATTCTTGTTAATATAAATAATGGAGAAATTATCGGGATTAAACACTTTTTGAGTCAGAGAACGACGTTATCTTCCACATTTTTGATCAGATTAAGGTTTTAAGGGTAAAATTGATCAAGATTACACCAATTTTATTTCAATGGATTTTTGTCTGTTTTAACAAATTTAAGAAAAACAGCAATTTTGTTTTTTAATGATTATCCCAAAAAAGAATAAGAAAGCATGAAAAAGAACTGGCTTAATGTTTAAAGATGGAAACTGAAACAATATTCAAGTTTAAACACACATTTAAACCAATAAAAGTTTAAACAAAGATTAATTGTAATCCGCTTTCCAATTCCAGGTCTTATGCCTGTGGAGAAGACAAGGGGGGCAAACCCAACTGCATAAGTATTATACTAAGAAGTGCCGAGATCTCTACTACTCGATTAAGGTAAGATAAAAACTTTCCATGCAGTCCATTCCTAGCTGGTGGTTAAAGTTCAACAGATAAATTCTACAAGTTTGAAATAATTAGATACTCTAATCTGACAAGCAATGAAAAACAAGAAGTTTTTAGTTTAATCAACCAAATTATCTTAATTATCTTGATTTACTCCCTTTTTTTACCCTCATTCGTAGTATTTCCCCCCGAAAAGTTACCTTTTTAACCATATTTATACCCCCAGCACCACTTCTCAAAAGAGAGGGGGGTCTACTCCAGGTAGGTTCAAGATATACAATCAGGAGAGGGGGGTCTACTCCAGGTAGGTTCAAGATATACAATCTGGAGAGGGGGTCTACTCCAGGTAGGTTCAGGATTTACAATCAGGAGAGGGGGGTTTACTCCAGGTAGGTTCAAGATATACAATCTGGAGAGGGGGGTCTACTCCAGGTAGGTTCAAGATGTACTACGGTGCTTGCCTGATTGATGTTTGTTTACAATAAAACTAGTTCTTAAGCTGTTCTAAAACGTCATAATTGAATCTTAAGAACAATTATTTTTTTCAATGTGAAAAATTTCTTTAAGACAATGATTTATAGGTTTGCATGGAAGGGGTGGGCCTTCTTTTTGCAAATTCCAAGGTAGGTGTTCAATGTTTGTATCGTGTTAATTTGTGTCAGAACTTGAAACAGATTTAGCTAAACCTTTAAAATCAGCATTTATAAGTCATGAACTTTATTATTAAACTTTAAACATGGTTTAGCTAAATCTATAACAGTTTCATTTAATCTTCGAACATATCTTGTTTAAACCAGTTTTAGATTTAGCTAATTTTCGACTAGATCTTATATATTTTTGACCAGAACGAGCAGATTATATTTAGAAAAAATCTGCTTGAACATTTTTCATTTAACTGCAGAATTAGTTAATACTAGATTTAAGTCTGAATTAGCAAAATTTGCCAAGATTTAGCAAAGTTCTTCATATTTATACTTCAAAATAGCTAAATAGATATTTTCATGTTCAACTTTTAAAAATATTTTGGCTAAACAGGACTTTTTTATCTACTTTGTCAATAATAATCATTATGATTTGAAGGTTTTTAATATTAATTTCCTTTTTATAAAAAAAGATTAATTTACAAAATCATTCGAACTCAAAATCCTGTTCATTCAAAAATCTTTTTATTCCTATTTTCTTCTATTAAACATAGGTATGGTCCATGTACATTTGACTAGCTAAGGACCTCTCAAATGTCCCTTTACTGTACTGTACTGTACTGTACTGTAATGTACTGTACTGCATGTTTACATATATTCCTACATTTACTTGTCGTGAATGCTAAACACTTGTCCAAAGGGATTTTTTGAGATGGTCCTAAATTTTTTTTAAATTCTTTTTTCCAAAATTTATTTTACTTGCTTTTTTGCCTCCCAGGATTTTGAGGTATACTAGTTGATTAGTTTACCTTCTACAGAGTGTCCCACCAAACATGACATAGCAAGACGACTTAAAGGTCGTCTTTGATGTTTGACAAAATACCCCTAGTTCTGCAGCATTTCCAATATGTGGTCTGCTTTTTTTTTGCTTTCAATATTACCTTATAATTCTGGTTTTATTTTACAAATTGAAATCTCAACGAAATTGTTAAGTTCTCCGGTAATATTAACAGCGCAAAAAAAGGTAGACCACATTTTGGAAATGCTTAGACTCTGCATATTTTGTGTTAATTTTTTCAAGTAGGTTGACGATTGATTGTCACAATTAAATTCAAATATCAAAGACGACTTTTCTTACTTCGTCTTACTTCTATCATGTTTGGTGGGATACCCTGTACCATGATAAGAAAACGTGTAAACCTGGATTCTAGAATAGTGTAGTATTTAGCCAGTACAGGGTGGACCAATTAACATCACAAAGACTAAAGATCGTCTTTGATCAGTTCCGAAAGTTTTCCCTATTAAAAAATTACAAAGATATTGAATGTTTGGATAATTTAGATTTATTTGATAAATAGAAATCTAAATATCTTCTTTATTGATCGCTCAAAGCAACATAGATACAGACTTCTATGGTTACTTTAAAGTAGACAGACCACATTTTGAAAGTGGCAGGACTAGGGTTATTTTATGATTGTTGTTTGATGATTGTGCGCGTAAAGATGGAGAGAATGCCGCGACATGTTAAAGAAGACGACCTTGGCTCTTCTACGTGTTAGTGGAACACTCTTAATGATGTTACTTAATATACAATTTCCCAAGTGGTAATTCTCTCCATAGCGCTCGACCCAGAGCATTTCTTACAGTGAAACCCATTTAAGGAACAGACCGGCAATGTAAGGTAGTTAAACTGAGTATGCAGTGTTGTGGACACATTCTTTAGGGTTCATTTGAGATATATAAAACTTTTCCGCAATGTATAATTACTGAGTTTGAGTGCATAGTCGACTTTCAAAATCTTGAATTTGGGTGGGTACGTTTTTAGAATCGGTTTTTTTAAATTATTAAATAATGACGACGAAAAATAAAGTAAACATTTTACAGTAAACTAATTAGATTGTTAGGAACATATTTCTCAAAAGAAATTTGTCAATAAATCAATTCTAGAATCAATTATTTCATTTTCATCAATATATTGAATTCCTTATTTTCTTTGATTTATTCACGGATTTCTACAAATTCTTTAAATGTCGTCTTTACAATAATAATTCCAGAAAATCTGCAAATCTTTGTGAATAATGAGAAAATAGAATTATGATAGAATAGAAACTAATAATTGAACAAGATTACTTTTTTCGATAATAAGATTAATTTTTATTTTCTCAACCTGTTGCTAAACAACTATTTAGTTTACTGTAGAATTTTTAATTTATTTTTCGTCGTCGTAATTTAATAATTTTAAAAGACCGATTCTGAAAACGTATCCATCCAATAGTACGATTTTGAACGTCGACTTTGCTCTCAAACTCAGGGTTTACAGATGTTTAAAAAGTTTTATATGACGCAAATGAATCCTAAAGAATTTGTCCACAACATTGCATAATCAGATTAACTAACTTACATAGCCGGTCTGTCCCTTTAAACTGTGGAATAGGAAGACGACTTTCAAACTCCAGTTACCACTTGTAATACGATAATAGTCAGAAAACTTTTAAAAAAGAAGATGACTTTTAGAATCACGTTAAAATTTAAAAAGTTCAATGCGCATGAGACACAGAAATTGTGCAGTGTAAACAGACCCATTTCATTAAATTAGTAATTTAATAAGTGTCTAATAAAACTATTTGCTTTTTAACTACATCAAATACACTTAAGTATTGATATTTTGTCGTCTTCCTATTCCATTGTTTATTGGTTATTAATAAAGAACATGACCCATTTGACTATTAAGCAACTGTAAATTCTAATTTGTTTTATAACAGCATCAAATATCGCCTTTCTATCTCACAGTTTTATAGGGCTCACTGTAACCTAACTCAACTATGCATCATTAAGCCTAAATTTAGTTTTGAAAAATGTTACAATTGCATTTGGGAAAATAACTTTACAATTTAACCCAGAACTTCGGAGCCATTAAAAGAATTTATTAAATGTCGTTTTCTAAACCTACTGATAATTGAATTATGCATATATTTAGTTTTTATTGAATAATAACATAGAGCTCTTTAACACAATTTCCACATATTTCAGGGCTATTTATTTATTTTGATTAATTTAGGTAAAAAGATAAAAAAAAAACCTATTGACAAATTGTCAAGACGACATTTTATAAATTCTTTTGATGACTCCGTTGTTCTGGGTTAAACTGTAGAAGAATATACAGTCGGGAAAATATTTGATAAAGTAACTGTATTTAGAAATCACTTTACAAATGACAAAGACAAATGGGACTGAGCCATGGGAACTTTTATGTTGGATACCCTTAATTATGATTGATTGATCTCGATATCCACTGTGTGCACTTTTGCCTAATCCTCTCTTATTGGATATTCCTACTGGGTTCTGACCAATGAGAGTTCTCTCATTGATCTTGATATCCACAATACAAGAGTTTCCAGCTCTGAACTTATAAATCACTGAGATCAAATTAAGCTGGAACAAATTTAATTTTAAATTTTATAGATTTTTGTTTACCATTGAAATAGATACATTAATTTATTACATATAAATCCTAGAATAAAAAATAACTTTTTACATTTTTGTCTACATTTTTGTTTATTAAATAAAAATGAGCTTCATAAATTTCAATTATTGTTAAAAAAACATTTAATCAATACAAGAAAATATAAATCTCAACAAATCATTTTAAATATCTTTTTTAAATCTAAATTAACTTTAAACTTTAAATGAAAATTCTAAAATTAAACTTGAGTCTTTTTAAGCCCGCCCCCCCCCACTCCACCTCCCTTTTATTGCATTTTGAATCCTAAAAGGCATGTTATTTAGATTAAAGCCACAAGGAATTTACTCAATGGCGTAAACAGGAATAAGTTAGGAAGGGGGTGGGGGCAAACAAATTTCCCTTGTAAAACTGCCCCCATCCCCCCCCCTGTATACGTCCTTGATTTCACTTCAAATCTTACTTAAACCTTGTGTCCTCAATCTTGATGTTAATTGCTTGCAGTTGCAATTTATGTACGGTGGTAGGCGATTATATCAATATAACGAAGACTACTTTCGATTTCAATTTTCAATTATATCAAACTTTTTAAAAAGCTTTTCTTTTATTAATTGTATACTTGTAATGCGAAAATAGCTTTTTAAAAATTAAAACTTCTTCATTATATTCATAACATCGCTTACCACTGTATATTGTGTAGTGAGACTCATAAGACGATGGAATAGGAAGACGACAATTAACCTAAGTTATTATTTTGAATAATATCTCAGAAATTCTGCAGACCATCACTTAATAAAGGATTTTTAAGCTACTTGTAAAACTATTTGCTTAATAACAACGTGATATCCTAATTATTGCTTAAATGTCGTCTTCCTATTCGACAGTTTTCTGGTTATCACTGTATATAAAAAAATACCTTTGAAACATTCACTCTTAGTAAAATCACATTTTCAAACTTTAAAAGTATTGAGACTCCAGAGTTATATCCGGATGCGCAATATTAAACTAAAATCGATACTAACATACAGGGTTACCCACATTCGTTGAGACTGTAAAGACGACCCGAAAAATATGACGATTTGAAGCTTGATTTTTTGATTCTGCATTCAGTTGAGTATTCAATGGTTTACTAAATGATGCACGGAAATAAGCTAGTATTGGCCTACTACAAGGAAACCTGAATGCAAGAAAACCTACTAAAAAAATTACGTACAATCGTCTCTGAAGTCTCATCCTTTTTGGGTAATCCTGTACATATGCTTATATATTTATCCAAGTATTCTAAGCATTTCAGTTTCAGTTGTGCATTATTCACGAAAGTATTTGTGCTGAACAAATCATCAAAAAAAGTATTGCTTCAATTTCATTATTTTTTCTTCATGTAATGCTTAAATTAATGCCTATAACTTGAAGCACAATACATTTTAGCTATTTTATCCTAGAGATGGAAATTAATGAGAGAAAAAAGCTGTAGTCGATTGAGCTAAAGCTGTTTCAAAGACTAATTCACTAAATATTATGACTTCTTGACAAAAAGACAATATTAGTTGGGTTCATTTTATCACACAAGGTTTGTTATTCTCCATGGTGAACAATACAAAATAAAATAAACAAAATATTGAAGTTTTAGTTTAAAAATATTCAAATCCTATCATGTTTACTGGGAAACATTGTATTTACCCATCATAAACATAAACAAAACTTGGTAGAGACAGGGTTACCCACAAAGGATGAGACTGCAGTAAACTTGTTTTTTTTTGTCAAATCATCGGTTTACTCTTACAAAGAAATATTTAAGGCTAAGGATAACATTTACCGTTAAAATCGACACATTTGAATAGTTTTAGGTCATCATTCAAGTCCTATCTTCAGTGGGTAAACCTGTATTTGAAGAGTTTTAGGTCATCATTCAATTTCTATCTTCAGTGGGTAAACCTGTATTTGAAGAGTTTTAGGTCATCATTCAAGTCCTATCTTCAGTGGGTAAACCTGTATTTAAGAGTTTTAGGTCATCAATTCAAGTCCTATCTTCATTGCGTAAACCTGTATTAAAGCAAGGTTTAAATAAATCCATCAAATACATTCATTTCAATCTCTGGGTCAAATATCTCACTTTTACATAAATCAATCCTTTTATATTGTAAAGCAGTTTGTATGCACGTTGCATGCTTTCTAGCTTTCTACATATGTTGCCAGATTAATCAGCTTATCCTTTAATCTGCACATGCAATGCCAAAAATATATTCTTTTATTTCTTTTCAATTCTGCTTAAAGGTTATTTTCTACATTTCTAGAGATTAGATAGAAATCGTTTGTTTGCATGCTTTTATTTTTCTACTTTGTTCCATTGTTTTAATGGAAATTTAAACCTGCATACATAAAGAAGAATGTTTTTTTTTATTTATATATCTTTTTATTTTAGTTTTTCGTGAGACTGGACCATATACGCAAATGTTTCACTCAGAAAGAAGGGATCTTTGTCCTGGAGGAGTTTAGTAAGCATTTTTATTATAAATATTCTTGATAAAAAAGTAAAAAATAACAAATCTTAAAGGGAGAGACCGGCTATGTAAGGTAGTTAATATTTAGATCCCAAAACGAGGAAAATTGTCCAACGAAAGTACAAATCTGCGATGGTAAGTCTTACAACTTTCTTTAAAAATACACTAAACAATTTTGTTATGATTTTATTTAGAAGGGATATAAAAAAATGTGAACAGTCCCTTTCTCAATTTAATTGAAAATATATTTTTGATCTGTTTTTAGGCCACACAAATTGCTTTAAGTCTTCACCGCGTCTTTACCATCCTAACATCACAAAAAATGCAAACAATGTTAACATTGCGTAAATAAAAGTAATTTACGAGTTATTTTTACTGTTCTTTGAGCTTTATGCTAGAAGTTACCAGTGCTTTGAAAAATATTTTGTAATCAAACATTTTTTTTGACAATTTATCGGATTATTTTTTTTTAATTGAAATTTTTATTCTCTTTCATGATAGGTATAACAAATGTTTCTCAATATAAAGTTTCTAAAACTAAAATAAAGATCTGTAAAAAAGATATTTTTCAGATTATTTAAAAAAATTATAAAAAATACAGCACTGTTGGTTTCTGGTTGATTTTCTATAATTTCTTCTTTACAATAAACTCAAGGATAGATACCAGAACGTTCCAGAAAAATTTTCTTTTTTTTAGATTAGTTTTAGGTATCTTTTCTAGTTTATTTAGTTCTATATACTTTTATACAGTTAGAGTTAGTACACATGAGAACACAAAATTACTAATTTTTACAATGTATTAGTAAGGGGATAAAAGCGGAATAAAGATGAGAAGTCTTATGTTTACTGATTCTCTCTGTATTTTAAAATCGTAGTTAAATTTTCATTCTTATACTGTTTGCTTTGTTTTTATAGTTCCAAAAAATAATTTACCGACAGTTGACCAAAATTTCGAACATTTTACCTTGCATTTAACTCAAAAAAGAAGGAGAATGTTTATGTAACATTTCACTGATTTACTGGTCATAAGTTTGGTTTAGAAAGTAAAACTACTTTAATGCTCTTCAAATCAGCTTAATTTAGATTCTTTAAAGAGCATCAATCTCCTTGAAACTGTCTAAACTAATTTCTTTAAAGTATCTTCTAAATCTTCTAGTAGTTGTAAATATTTAGGTTTAATTATTTTTATTATCTTAACAAGGAACATATTTTAGAAATCACCATAAATTAAGCTTACCGTAGTGATCGGTAGCACTCTGACCGAATAAATTGCGGGTTTTTATTGGAAAGTGTAATAAGCTGTGTCAATTTTATGGGGCTCAGCAAGAATTTTAATGATTGGAAACAAAAATTTACATTTGATTTTATCTAAACTTAATTTAAAATGTGAATTAAAAGATTTCTAGGATATGCTCCATTATAGTATTTAAAGATCAGAAAAATATATTTTTTATTATTATTTTAGGCCGATCAAATATGCTACGCTGTTCTCTGTGTATTCTCCTATGTTGCTGCTGGGCAGAACCGCAAGATGGCGGACAAAGTTGTGAAACGAAATGTTGCGGGGCATTTGCCCTCGGGTGGTGTCTCACCACGTGGACCAATGTATTCAGACCGCGCTAGTCTGCAATTTAAACGAAAATGAATTTAAATTTAGTTTTACAATAGTTAATTCTTTGTGATAAAACTCATCCAATCCCTATCCATATCATTATATTGACAATGTGATACTATTAATTATCATTACAAGTAATTGAATATATTGTTTTATATAAAAATACTTTTTCATTTTTAACTTCAACTTTATACATTTCCAGATTTTCGTTGTTCTTCCCATCAACAATCATAAAATTATGACTGAGAGTTTTAAGAAAATAAAAATTTAAGTGCATACAAAAAACACGAGTAATAGCAATTAGTCTTAATGGGCGGCTGCCTATGCTCAGATCTCTTTTATCCTAAACATTTACAGTAATAGATATGATTCAACAATTTTTAAGGAAACGGAGCTGTGCTGGAATATTTAGCTTTATATTTAGAAGAGTTCGATGTTTTAGTGTGTAACTCAGAAATATTCAATTTTTACCCAATGGGGAGAGAAAAATCTTTGATTTTTTTTTTTAGTGCACGAAAATTAGATAGATTAAAACAAAAGCTAAGGTTATTACCGACGCGCAAGGACTATATTTTAAAATTGTCGCGTAAACGATATTCTTTCAAGTCAAAAATTGGGACACTGTTAAAAGTTTCCTGAAATCAGGATCTAAATGTGACTTCTGGTGAAACTTAGATACAAATCTTATAAAGAGTGTACTTAAGTCATTTCTTAGTTTCTTTCTATTCTTAACAAGTAATATTTCTTACTGGTTTTAGTTTAGCCTCTGTTAAATAAGAAGATGGATGGTAAAATCTACATTTTTGTTCTTGTAAATTCAATATTGTTGCAAAGAATTAAAATAAGGTTTTCAATGCTCCGTATTTTAGGTAAATACCCGGTTCACACATAAACACCCTTGAAGCCTGTATCTGATTTATCATGTAGAAACTGACTTCATTTTCTGGTTTGAAAAGTGACTGACATTTTTTTCATTTTTCTCAAGAAAAATAATGCCCTTTTGCAGAGAAACCACAAATCAAAATTCATAGTTTCCAAAAACAAAAACGGATTTCTCAATCTTGATCACAACAAGCTATTTAACTTATTATTAAAAAAATGCAGGATATGAAGTATGTCGTATATGCATAAAAAGTAAAAACACAATATAAAGGCGACATAAGATATAAGGTATAAGATATAAGATATCAGGTACTAAAAGAAAACGGTTCCAGTAAAATCCCTCCTAATAGCTCTTAGAGTACAGCAGCAGTTATAGTAAACTGTGCACTGTACTGTAGCAGGATTAGGCTGTGCAATGTAAAGCAGCAGGAGCAGACTGTACACGGTAAAACAGTAGGAACAGACTGTGGACTGTGCAGTAGCTGGAGCAGACTGTGCACTGTACAGCAGCAGGACCAGACTGTGCACTGTACACTGTACAGTTGCAAGAGCTGACTGCACTGTACAGAAGCAGGAGCTGACTGTGCATTGTACAGTAGCAGGAGCCGACTCTGCATTGTACAGTAGCAGGAGCAGACTGTGCACTGTACAGCAACAGGTGTGACTGTACACTGTAAAGCAGCAAGACCAGGCTGTGCACCGTATATCAGCAGCAGGAGCAGATGGAAGTAAACAAGAAATCCAAATAAACAACAATGACAATCAAACCTCTTGAAAACAGCATGAATAGTCAACATTTTCACTTGTTTCCACAGAAGAAGGGGGGGGGGGTAAGGACATTTTACCCCTGTATTTTGGTTAGAGGTGATTAAGATTAAAAACAGTTTTAAAACCCTGCTGAATACGATATTCGTGAGATAGTCCTTAAACTGGTGGAATGACTATTGACAACTCTGAATGAGGGTTGAAGTTAAAGATGTAGGTGAATGAATTGATGAATGATGAGAGTGAAGTGAATGAATAAAAGAGTCCAGTTAGGGTTAACAACTTTGCTGTTTCTTTTTAGTTTTTTTTCAGTTTCTTTTCCGTTGCGTTCAGATGTATAGGATTCGGAAATATCCGTTAACTGTATCAGATGTATAGGATTCGGAAATATCCGTTAACTGTATCAGATGTATAGGATTCGGAAATATCCGTTAATTGTATCAGATCTATAGGATTCGGAAATATCCGTTAACTGTATCAGATGTATAGGATTCGGGGGCGGCTGCCTATGCTCAGATATCTTTTATCCTAAACATTTACAGTAATAGATATGATATTTGTCTCAATGATAATTTTGCCCATATCTTCCTGGTGTGAATTATGTCAACTCATGGTCCATCCGTTCCTCATGTATTAATTTCTCACTCAACGCATATGGTATAATTATCCCTCCTCCCCCCCCTCGGGGTAGTGCGCAGACCAATTATAGCAACACAATCAAAGAATATTTTCTCAAGAATCATCTATCCTAATCTAGACAAAATACATTTATTTAAAGGTCAAAAAACAAAATTTTGATTACATTGCTTCTTTTTTTTCTGCTCTCCGCAAATTTTCCAAAAATTGCCTGTTTATAGCCGTGAAAAGTGCCGCGGCCTGAAAATCGTGTTTAATTTGAGTTGAAATTGGTTTAAAGTAACTGTACTTGATTCTAACCACCGGAAGTTCGAACATCGGGCTTTCTCAGTCGGATTTCAGAGCTAAACCACTGAACACCTCTTCTAATTCATAATTTCTAAAAATAACATTAGAATCCAGATTTTTTACTCCTTGAAATATTTCATCTAAAATTTTATGAAAAAACAAACTATAAAATATGATAAAACATTATTTTGCTTAAAACTGTGTCTTTGTTACTTTTCTGAATATAGTAATTTAATAATTTGCTTTAATTTTATTCAAAAATAAAATGTCGTGCAAAGTTTTAAATTCCTTACAAGGAGGGAAAACATCAAAAAGAATATATATTTTCCGAATATAGTAATTTAATAATTTGCTTTAATTTTATCTAAATATAAAATGCTGTGCAAAGTTTTAACTTTTTGTAAACATCTTTACAAGGCGGGAAAACATCAGAAAGAATATATATTTTCCTTTATTAATAATAAATCTAAGTTTCTATTTTTTTTCTTAATTTAATGCATAATTTTATTCTATTTTGCAGAAACCCGAATATTTCGTTTTTAATTTGCCAAATTTTCGAGCAAATTTGCAAAATTTTTGCACACTTCATGGATTTGAAGATATTTGTTGGAAACCACATTTTTTAAAAAATCTGCAAAGTATCAATGAGAAGTATATTCAAGAAAAAGTTAAATTGAAATTGTTAATAATTTCAGAAATTAAGCTTTATTACTAAGTTCAGACAATCAAAAGAGTGTAAAGGTAAGAAAATTCAACTCAAAATAATTTTGTTGATATTTGAAAGTTACACATTTTAAGATGATATAATAAAACAGGACATTCGTATATATATGTATATTGTCTATAGCCGGCCAAACGGCTGAACCGATTGGGTTAAACATTTTTGTGGACACTTATGAGTGGCTGGGGGGTGTTATAGGCTAAAAAAATCATATTTTTTTCAAATATGTTTTTTAAATTTTTGTAATGGGCAACTCTGGGTCCTTCAGCTAGTTGTTTTATAAATCAAGGATATATTTATAAATCAAGGATATATTTATAAATCAAGGATATATTTATAAATCAAGGATATATTTATAAATTAAAGGGAAAGTATACGCGTAATTTCCCATTATTTAGAGAGTGTTACATCCGATCCTAAATTATTTTTACAATATCATAACTAAATAAAAATAATACGCCTAAGTTACATTATTCTGTCCAAGAATAGTGTTAAAAACAATTTCAAAGCTTTAAAAATTATAACAACATATTGTTTTGTCGGAAACACAATCTAAAAGTGTAACGCTGAATTTGAAATCCATGAATCCATAATTAGTATTTAATTGACTGCCTAACCTACTGTCGTGGAAGGAAAATCTGTTTCGCATTATCGGAACCTGGGAGAACCTGGGAACCTGGGAACCATCATAATTGTTAAATTATGACAAGAAAGAGACTTTGACGCGTTGAAAAAAATAAAAACGGTATCGTAATTGAAAATCTGTTTTCACACTTCACACTGATTAGAAACTGTGATTGGTTAGATTCAGAACAATTAAATTAACGATCATATTGTTTACTAAAACTTTAAACATAGTTTTGAATCGAGTTTTGATCAAAATAAGATAAAAATACTTCTTTGCTTGCATTTAAACAAATCTATGGTAATAAAAATATTTTTTTGTACTTTGAGATACCTATTTCCGGATTAAAATAATACTGTTTCCTGTTTACTTTGATAATCTTACATTAATTAATGTTTGATGCGTAATTAACGCTTCCTTTATATTAACCTATCAATAGAATTGTATATTTTACAAGATAAACACATTAGTTCCTTAGTATTGTTTATTATCAGCTCATATCTTGCATTTGGATAATGCATGATGTCCCAGTAAACATTCGGATCTATACATTTGGATAATGCATGGTGTCCCAGTAAACATTCGGATCTATACATTTGGATAATGGATGGTGTCCGAGTAAACATTCGGATCTATACATTTGGATAATGCATGATGTCCCAGTAAACATTCGGATCTATACATTTGGATAATGCATGGTGTCCCAGTAAACATTCGGAACTATACATTTGGCTAATACGGAGTGTCCCAAACAAATTGGGAGGAATGCTAAATGGAAGGGGGTGGGGCGAATATGGAAATGCTTGATGGGAAAGGGGTGATGAAAATGCTTGATGGGAAATTGGGTGGGCAGATGGAAATGGATATCGAAAGGGGGTTAAGATGTAAATGGGTAACCAATAAATTACAAAAACTGTAGGATACACCTTTCATTTTTCATTATAGCTTTCTCTTCTTGTATCTTATATTAGAGTTACTAGAGGCAGAAACTTTAATTTCTCTTCTTGTATCTTATATTAGAGTTACCAGAGGTCAGAACTTTTAATTCTCTTCTTGTATCTTATATTACAGTTACCAGAGATCGAAACTTTTAATTCCCTTCTTGTATCTTATATTAGAGTTACCAGAGATCAGAACTTTTAATTCTCTTCTTGTATCTTATATTAGGGTTCCCAGGGATGAGAACTTTTAATTCTCTTCTTGTATCTTATATTAGAGTTACTAGAGGCAGAAACTTTTAATACTCTTCTTTTATCTTATATTAGGGTTACCAGAGGTCAGAACTTTTAATTCCCTTCTTTTATCTTATATTAGAGTTACCAGAGGCCAGAACTTTTAATTAAGTATATGTGGAAAGGATATAGAAAGGGGAATATGATATAAATGGTTTATAGGGGAGGGTGGGGTTTAAAAGCATACACATCAACCTTGTTGCACCCCAGCAGGGGACCTGTATATGAGTGGGATTAGGAGATGCAGTAGGGAGGGGGGAGGGGGCAGACATAGGGAAAGAACAGAATATTTAAAGTACGTTTAAAGATAAAGGACAAGAATAGAAAAAATGAAAAAATCGGATGAAAAATTATCGCGAAAGTAAAAAATATTTCTGCAATAGCAATTTATAGAAAAGTTGCAGTTGGAACTTAAAACAGAAATAAAACTATCTGAACATGTTTTTAATAAATATATTATTTTTTATAAGGTTGTTTGAGTTACCCGAAAGGTTGAGAGTATAGAAATAGTAAAAGTTCCTCGTCTTAAAATTTTGAGAATTTTTGGGCAAATCCTTACTTTTTAAATTTTCATACTTTGACCCAAGTCCAGGTACGTTGGTTTTTGCATTAAGAATTTGTAAAACTTTCCAACATTGATCAGAACTTTTAATTCTCTTCTTGTATCTTATATTAGAGTTACCAGAGATCAGAACTTTTAATTCCCTTCTTGTATCTTATATTAGAGTTACCAGAGGTTGAAACTTTTAATTCTCTTCTTGTAGCTTATATTAGAGTTACCAGAGATCAGAACTTTTAACACTCTTCTTGTATCTTATATTAGAGTTACCAGAGTTCAGAACTTTTAATTCCCTTCTTGTATCATATATTAGGTTTCCTAGGGATCAGAACTTTTGATTCTCTTCTTGTATATTCTAGTCTCCGAATAGGGTTTCCTAATGTAAGCCAATGGTGATCATTTATTCCCAGATTCTTATAATGATAATAATAAAAATAATAATAATTTATATTTTTATGCATATTTGTAAGACATAACGTTATCTACACATCTCTCTAACTATTTTAAGCTCACGCATCAGTACCAAAGCCAAGTTTCTAAATAGGCCTGATTTACTATGAATAACCAAATGTAAGGATACAGAGCTACAAGGTCTTTTCCACATTGATATATATATATATAGTAGATGTATAATTCACCTGAATATATCAATATGTAAATTATGTACATTGTGTTTAATGATAATCGTATATTGACATGAAGTAGGAAAATCAAAGAAACTGCTTCACTGTAATGCATAAATTGATGAGAATTTTAACAATTACTTCATAAAAACCAAAGCGGTAAAGCGGTAAAATCTAAGCCCAAGGCTTTGCAACACTTTAAAGTCGACCCTGTCTAAAAAATCTGAAAGACTGTTTATAAGCAGGCTGAATCTCTCAGGGGTTCTCATCGTGATTGTTTAAGAAACAAAAACTTCTGTAGAATTTTTAGATTTTAAATCTTTTTTACAGTACACGTTTTGAGCAGATATAGGATATAAGCACTTTTGTTACAAATAGAAATAATTTGAGACTTTTAATTTTTGCTTTCCATGCCACATTCTTTTTTTTCAGCACTTCACAAAATTGGCAGTTTTCCTGGTTTTTACCAGTGGATTTTCAAGAAGAAAAAAACCTAATCCAATTTTTAATTAAATTTTCAATTTGGAAATTTGCATATAGGAAAGTATGAATTAGGAAAATGCCTTTAGAAATTTATGCATTTAAACTATCCAAGCTTTTAATAAATGTGAACTCTACCTTTTTGGGAGTTTAGTCCGACGTTGTCAATAGATGAGAGTTCTGTAATACTCTACATGTATGTCCTTTAAGATAAGATATGCACTATGCAGTAAACCTTGTACTGCCTGAATAGACCCAGCCAAGCAAATCTATGCTAACGTAAGACAATAGACATGACTGGGAAAAGAGCGTGAAAACAGATTTAAAAACATAAATATATTTCATCCAAAGATAATAGAATTAGAGGGGAATTTAGAGAATCTCTTGGTATGAATATTTTCAGTCCCTTTCAGCCTGAAAGGGAGTTAAAAGTGTACAAATCATGTAAATGTTCACAAATTATATGCAGTAGAGTACATTAATACAGTATGTTTCCTAAACTATCAATTTCAATTTAGAATTTTTTAAAGCTGTTAAATAAACTTTATAATGAATTAGGTGAATAAAAAACATCATTTGATTTACATTTATGACGGAAAATCATCGTTTGTAAAGTGAAAGGCATAGAATCTATGTGAAATGATCATTGGTCAATTATGAAACAAGCCTATTTCGTAATTTGGTTTTCTTTTAATATTAATTTTAGATTTTCTATAAAATGATATTCCTGGGCCCAAAAGGTTATATAGCATAAATATGTGAAGTACACCTGCAGTATGGAAACAGTACAACAAAATGGCCGTTTTATCCTTTTTTCTAGTAATTTCCCCTCTAATATATATTCTATTCTCTTTGATTTCATCCCCTCCCCTACATCAATGATGTTAAATCAACTCCGGCCAAACAAAGTAAACTAAATCAAAATTTTTTTTCTTTTTGGCTACGGAATGCATACATGTAATTGTAAGATCCTTTCCTACTGAGGTCAGAATTAATTAATAGCTAGATTTAAAAAAGATAATTAAAATACTTTTTACTTTGCCCGAAAATGCACAAGAGAAGTAGTATACAAATAGCTTATATTTGACTACTACTCTCTATTCATTAATTGCCAATTCTGGTTAAAATTTATAATAATTTGCCATATTTTTGCATTTTTTTACAGATAAACTGGCTTTACATTGAATCATTAATTTATGTAAAGAAAACAACAATTTCCAATAAAATCAAACAAATAAATGTTCTAAAATTTAAAATTTGAAATTATAATATCTGTAAACATAGAAACTTTAAATTCTAAAAAAGGAACGTTTTATAATTTTTATACATTCATTTATTTCTCTAACTGAGCTGAACTGAAATATCTTTAAATCCGATCTTTTCACTTGATTTCTTTTACATCTAGATATAAGAGCTTTTGTCTTTTCAATAAACAATTAGATATTATTTGAGCATTTAAACATATCTGAGTAGGAACATTTTAGAATTTTTAATGAGAAATAATATTAAGTTATTTTGCAGCCCCCCTGCTCAGATTAGAAATTACATAAATTAAATAGATGAAAGCGTGACTTTAACCGACCTTATAATAATTAAGCAACATTGGAATGATTTTTTGGTACAACAGCTTATTTGTATATTCTATACGTATACAATTTCTATATCCTAGAAATAATCAAGAACTCCTTCTATGCAAAACTAGAAGTAAATATTATTTTAGGATGTATATTCTATATGTAATGTATATCCTAGGATTATAAAACAGACTCCTGTCAATGTGTATCCTAAGAGAATATAAATAATGTATCCTAGAAGTATATAACTGTCACCTATGCATCCTAGAAGTATAAAAGTATGGAATCCATGCACCTACAATTCTACAACTGACTCCTTTGTGTATCCTAGAAGTAATATCTTACTCCTATGTATCCTGGACACCCTGGACTAGACAGAGTGAGAAGCATTCGGTTTTTTCTAGCTAAAATCCAACGTGTTTCGGTCTATAAGGCAACAACTTTTTAATTTAGGGATTTGTATGTTCAATACTTTTTCATTCAGAATGTATATATTGACAAAAAAGTATTTAAGAAAAAGGCTAAAGAATTATGTTTCATGGGTCAAATTGTGATCAAAAGTCACAGTTTTTGGGAATATTGGCAGAACCTTTAAATCTACGCGTGGAAGAATCCAACTGACTTATATGTATCCTGGAAGTATGAAACTAACAACTATGTTTCCTCCTAGAAGGATATAACTGACTTCTGCATGCATCTTAGAAGTTTATAACTGACTTTTATGTATCAAAGAAGTATATAACTGACTCCTGTGTGTATTCTAGAAGTATATATCAGACTCACATGTATCCTTAAAGTATACAGTTGACTCCTATGTTTCCAAGAATCAAATCACTGACTCACATGTACAATAGAAGTATGCAATTGACTCCCATGTCTCCTAGAAGTATATAACCGACTTCTATAAGTATCCTAGAAGTTTATAACTGACTTCTATGTATCCAAGAATTATATAACTGCAACTCCTATGGGTATACTAGAAGTATATATCAGATTCACTTGTATCCTGAAAGTATACAACAGACTCCAATGTATCCTAGAAGTGTTCAACTGACTCCTATGTATCCTAGAAGTACATAACGGACTCATATGTATACTAGAAGTATATAACTGACTCCTATGTATCCTAGAAGTACATATATGACTCATATGTATATTAGAAGTGTATAACTGACTCCAATATATCCTAGAAGAATATAACTGACTCCAATGTACCCTAGAAGAATATAACTGACTCCAATGTGTACTGTATCCTAGTAGTTTATTATGAAGTACTCAATGAACCTGTCACAACACATGAACGGGTATGAATCGCATTCCAATCTATATTATCAATATTACATATATATGGTGTACGACAATACACGACTATATGGTTGAGTAGTTAGCGCCGGCGCTTAGCTGTCTACCGTGCGCTTGTCCAGGGGGGGAGCTCCGAGTTGGTTAGTTTAGTCTAGTATGTTGTATAGTGAGGTTGATGTTGTGAGCCCTGGTTAAAGGGATTAGTGTATTACAAGTGAATATATAAAAAGAAAATAATCCAGAGGGCTCCGGGAATGGTGTAATCGTATACAACAGGTTAATTACGATACCTTTTTACTTATCGTTAAAGTCTCAAAAAAAATATTTGCAACAACAACAATTATTGATTTTTTTCAGAAATGGCGGCGAAAACTTCAATCTCCTTGTTGGTGAGTAAAAAATATTATTTCATTGTTAAAAACTATAAAAAAGCAACCATTTTCTATGCTAATTCTTAAGTATTTAAAAGGATTACACCAGATAAAACGGTTTAAGAAAGTATGCTGTCACTGTTCTAGTTTTATACCTCCTCCCCCTGAAAATCATTTATTCCCTAAATGGAATTTTAGATTAAACCATTCCTGAGGTCATTTTACTTCTTTTCCAGTTCCAAGAAATTTTTCCTGTTTCATTCTCTCAAATTGCACAATATTAGGATTTTGCACGTTTTTTGCAAACTGAATTTCTCTTAAATATGTTTATTTTTGCGTGGTTCAAAACAGATTGCAATTTTTTTTTGCAACGAATTATTGAAAGAGAACTTTTCAAAGTCGCAGACATAGAATCGTGCCAAAGATAAGTGAATCGTGCCATGCAAAAATAATCGAACTGGCACCTTGCAAAAATCATAAAATTATAAAATTAGGACCGTGCAAAAACTATCAAAAGACGACCATGTAAAAAACATTAAATAAAAATATTAAAAAATTTGTTAAATAAGGATCATGGAAAGAAAATCCATTATTTTTTTTTTATAAAGTAGGCTCTTCAGATTAATCATGAAATTAGGACCATGCTTGAGAAATTTCAATTTTAACGACGAAAATTTAATAATTCTCTTAGCGAAATTCCTTGCAACAATAATATGCAAAAGTCATTAAATTGATATGTAACCTTTTACAAATAAATATGAAACAATTTACATTCAAAAGTAGTCTTCTTTCTACTCTTATAATAAATGTATTTATTTTTTAACGCCGGTTTCGATAAGCTTTTCACTGAAAATCTGAATTAATGAAAAGCCATTCCATTTAACAATTTGATTCGTTTAATTACATTTGCGCGTAAACTAAAATATGTCATGTTTCAGTTCATTCAACACTATCCGATTTAATGTCTTCAAACCACAATATTTGTATAATCATTCGAAGAACAAAGAATGTTTTCATTTTTAATTAACTGCAAGAACTTCTATATAATAATTCTGTTCTATAATTTATGATATTATATCAGAATATGTAAAATACTTTGAAAGGGAACTGAAAACTTGCCTAAAAATTAGATATTCGATAATCCAAATTTTGTTTAACCTTTGATTATTCAAAGCTTTGACTATTAAAAGATATCAGGAAGGATTAGCAAATTCGAGTTAATAGAAAGTAGTGTTTTTTCAGTTTTACTTAATGTTATCTATTGTTTTGAGTATTGAACCCTGAAATCATAACTGATAAGTAAATGCCAGCTTGTTTGAACGCAAAGTTTAATTAGAAAATCTGCAATTATTTTATAGATATATACGCCTGTCAAGATAAGGTTGGGTACATGCTGTATATTCAGGTTAATGTGCTTTTAATGATGTGAAATAAGAACTTTAAGTTGAGTATACATATATATACAATACAATATGTATGCTGATAATATATGTTTAGAAAATACATACAGATTTTAGAGTTTTAAAGGGAGTGACCGGCTATGTAAATAGTTGAAGTTTGTACAGTTACGTGTTATTATAAAGTATGATCAGTTACGTGTTATTATAAAGTTTGATCAGTTACGTGTTACTTTAAAGTTTGATCAGTTACGTGTTATTATAAAGTTTGATCAGTTACGTGTTATTATAAAGTTTGTATGTTTTTCATAGTATCGAATATGAAAAAAAATTTGTTAGGATTAAAAATAATGACTGAAAACTTTCTATAGAAAAGACATAAATCATAACTTTCCCCTTTTTAGGCACTTCCTTTTAACCCAAACCAAAATCAATCATCAACGCTGCCCAAACTACAGTTGCTTGCATGCAGTCAATACAAAAAATATGCGAATTTTTTTAGACACTGATCAGAATTCAAGATGTAGTAAAAGCACAATGCAATTTGCGAAGTTCAATGAACTTAAAAAAATTAAATATGATAAAAACTTTTTTTTGTGACTCCCTTAAAGTGTGGGTAGCATAGTTTGCAGGTACAGATATATAGGCTATAGAGCCTAGTAGTACCATAAACTTGATCTTTGAACTTTAAACTCATTATTTCTTCAGATTATACTTGAGATATTGATTCATGAGTTGTCAGATTGTTTGCTTGTGTTTTTATGTTTTCATGGGACCATTTCTTGTCCGTTTCTTGTCGTTTAAAAGATGAATTTTGACGTTTTTTCAATTCTATAATTTTGGAAAATATTGTTAAAATATATTTTAACGAAGAGGCTCCAACCAAAAAACAAAACATGTATTTAGTTTTCATAAATAAGATTGTAAGTCTGCTGCATTATTTACAAATATATAATATAAAAACTAGTATTTCAACATGACCCTGTTTATGGCAAAGTGAAGTTGACACTTCTTCCTGCATTCCACAAATTCCTATAATCTAAATCATCAAGATTCAAACGACTTTGACTTCAGTCCCCCCCCCCTATTTACTACACAAATCCATTCTTACACCCTTCCCCCCCCTGCTCCTTAGACACCNATCAAAAATCCGCCAAGTTGCAAAATTGCATTTATGAACGGTCTAATATATATGATAACACAATACAGAACAAATGGCGTGATATGTGTTGGCTAACAGTACGAATATTCACCGTTAACCTTTTTGTCTTACGCTAATTATAATCCCACAATGTTTTATTAACAAAATAAAACGTATTTTCAACCTTTTTATTCTAATTGTTACTGGAATTCTTGATGCTTTGTGGAACTATAAATTTTTGGGTTATTAACATGACAGTGAATAAGTGTATGCATGGTTTATTAGGTGGATGGTAGGATGGATTAAGGGATGAATGGATGAATGGATGAATGGCTTGATATGTATGAAACTCTATTCATAATGAAATCTTATCTAAAATCTCATCACGTCGCGTTTTTAATATTAGCCCTGCACAACTATCTACCTAGTTAGCCTGCCAGTGCAGCATTTTTACACAGGCAACATTTCATGAAATCATGTTTTTCAGATCCGTAAAATTCTACATTCTTATTTATCTTGAGGATTAACCCCCCCTCTCCCCGCCTCTTTCCTTGCATCCCGCTAACTGTATTCCAGGAAATGACTACAAATAAACAGGGGAAGGGGCCCAAATGGAATTTTTCTGCATTTATAAAATTCTACAGGGGGTGGGTAACTTTTGATTTGAAAATCGAAATGTTTTCTGAGTTCTATTTAGCCCTGTGCGCGAATCTAGGCACATTCAGTCGGAATAGGCCTAGACTGCCTTTGTGAGTGGGATGTAGGTAGGTAGATAGATATCTTGTTACTTGGATAGATAGATAGATAGAATAGACATTTTGAAGGAAAGATACATTGATAGATAGATAAAAAAGATAGATAGTTAGATCGGAAGACAAAATAACATACGGGAGTTTTAAAGGAGGTGGTTTTCATAAAATATTTTTTTTATCTGTCTTTCTATCTGAAAACTTCAATATGTGATAAAATGGTTTCTAAAAATTTAATCACGGTATTTTACTATATGTAATTGTTACATAAATTTATCCAAATAAAACTCTTAAAACGACTCTAACGACATATTTAATAATGATCATAATAAAATACGTTATTTCAACAATTGCATTTAGTAGCATTATTTCAATATATTTTAAATTTAAAGCTTTGCAAGATAAATATAACTATTTTGTTAGTTTTGCAAATATTAAAATAATAAAGTGACTGTAAAGGAAAGAAACTTTAGCTCTTGATCTTGACCCATGAAAGTTATATCTGATGCTCCTGTCTCGAGAAATTGATATAAAACTGTGTCAAATTTATACAAATTCAGCAAATACTCTTCTTGTATCTTATATTAGAGTTACCAGAGATCAGAACTTTNTCCTTCCCCCCCTCCTGCTACCTTAATCCTCTCTATCCAACGTTGTTCCGCCCACGCGGTTTAAACACAGAGAACTGGTCTATCCAGACACGCCTTATACTGTTGGAGAGTTGTCATTATTCTTTTTAATCCCTTTTTTCTTTTTCTTGTTCTCCCCTATACTTTCTTTATGTCTTCTTAAGTCTTCTTATAGTTTTCATCTTTTTTGTCGTCTTTCTTTTTTTCTTGTTCTCCCGTTACGTTCTTTATGTCGTCTTACCTTATGTTTCTTTTTGTTTTTTCTTTCCTTGTTCTCCAGTTTCCCTTTATTTATAATGGAATCCTAATGCTCAACATGCAAACTTAACACAAAATAATGAATCTTGATACAAATTGTCTTTTCTTGTGTTCTTGTAAAATTTATTCTATTAAACACTCTTTCCTTTTCTCACTTCTCATATTACTTTCTTTTTGTCGTCTTATCTTTTTCTTGTTTTTTATATGCGTCTCTCCTTTTGTACTACTTTTTTCTTTAATGTCGTCTTTGCTTTTTCGTGTTCTCCCGTTTAAATTATTAATGTCGTCATTTCTTCTTTAAAGTTTTCTTTTATTATCGTCTTTCTTGATTTCTCATTTTCTAGTTCTTTTTTCATCTTTTTTCATATAAGAGTCTCCTCGTTTCTTTGCTTTTTGCCTTCTCTCCTTTTATAATATTTATTTTAATTTTTTTCGTTTTTCCTGCTATTTTATTTTTATGCCGTTTTTTTCAGTTTTATACGTTCCGTTTTCTACCCTTTTATGCTTTTTTTTCTTTCGATTATTTTGTTGCATTATCTCTCTTGTAAATCCCAGTTTTATTTTAAAAAGTTCATGAAAAGAATGACTAAATTTTGTCTTTTATACTTTTTTTCTATTCTAATCTTTGGCTAGAATGTCTCTATTTATCTATATTTGTATAGTATGCGGGGGTGTATACTGGTCCTTGTTTTATATCTCCTCCTCCAGGTTCTAAAGGTTCAATAAATCCTAGTTCTTAACCTACAGAGATTCAACCAGTCTTGTAGTGGGTTCTTGAAACCAGTCAAATGGTTCCTAAACATTCCCTCCTTTATATTATTATTTATGCATACAATACATATAT